GTTCCAGGGACACCAACCACCACCACCTGAAGTTCCACTGGTGTTCCATCCAGCTCCAATTCTCCCCACTCAGTTTCTGCCTGTGGCTCCTCTATGGCTGTGCTTTCTCCCTCCTGTTCCTTGGCTGTCAGAGGGTTCAGGCAGAGCAAACTCGAGGGCTGTTTGAGGGGTCACATTCCATCAGTGATTTCAGCAATGCAGAGCCAGGTTTGCAGGCAAATGTCTCTGCTTTGCCAGTGTTTTGAACAAACTGCCCAGAGACAAGGCTCTCTTTTCTGGAAAGGAAATTACTTTTGGGCCCATTGATTGCTCTTTACCATCATCATCCTCCAAGGACCATGGGAGTTTCTCTGCAGCTCTGTCACTGCACATCTCACAGGTTTACATCAGTCTCCACCAGCCCCAATTTCAGAGCTCAAAGAACACAGTGACACAACAGATGCACCTAGTGAAACAACAACAGTTTGTCTTTATTAGGAGTTCCCATGGTAATATAACACAGAGGTCGTAAGGAATAAAACACAAGACTGGGGTGGGTGGGGGTGGTTTTGTCATTGAGACAATGGTCAAAGATCAGTTACTTCTCTTTGTCTACACACATGATCAGCTTTAGCACTTACAGCTCCTCCACTCATGGTTCACAATCACAAATTCAAGGGTTAAATCCAGCTAGTATTAAATCCTACTTTTTTTTTTTTTGTAATTATTTTTAGAGCTTCAAGTCACTGCGGTTAATTCATTAATTAATTCATTAAGTCATTGTCTTTTTTTTCTTTACGCATTTACATATGACATTCATTAAACAGACACAAAGCAGACGAGCTCTCACAGGAAAAAACATGCTTACACAGCCTGCAAAACTCTTTTTTTTGTGATTTTTTTTCTTTCCTTTTGAGGAACAAATTAAAACTCAAAAGTCATCATGAGTCAGTAAAGGAAAAAAAAAAAAAGGAAGACTTAAGTGAATACTGAAGAGCTGCAAATGTTTCGTTGCATTGAAACGGATCTGCAATTCTTTTTTTTTTCTCCCCAACTTGTTCAAATTGATTTAACATACAGGTGACAAAAAAAAAAAACCCAAAAAATATCCCAGAATGATCATAGCTGCAATATATATTAAGTTCACGGATTACTTAACAAACAAAGTGCAAACTCTTTATGCAAAACTAAAAGACCCAAGAGTTGAACCCAAATGCAAAATGCATGGAGGAATATGGCCACGTTTTTCTTAGCTTTTGTGTTCAAAGGGGCCTGAAGGAATCAGGTGCTGCAGCTGGGAAGGTTTGGGGACCTAAGGAGCTTCCAGATCCTTTGCAAATCCCAGCGCTGGTACTTCATATTGACAGATTTGGTACTTGTTCTGAAAAGCCTTCATATATCTCCAAGGTTTTTTCCTAACAGAACCTGTAAACACCATTTAAGAAAATACTCAGACTATGGAAAAACAAGGTCGATGCAGGTGGTGAGGTACAAAGCCAAGAGGAAGCAGAGGATGCAGCCAAGTGCCAGGGCAGGCAGTGCAGGTAACTGTGTCAGCTGGGGCTGGCCAAGCTCTCTGTGCCCAGAGCCCCTGGGACCCTGAGCTGCAGCTCAGCTCCACTGGAATCTCCTGCTGCAGGTCAATCCTCCAGCCCCAGGGCTGAAAACCTCCAATCCCACAAGATGCTAAGTGCCCAGGCCCCTCTGCCTGCCCCAGAGGTCTGGGGGCCTCAGCTCACCTGGGCCACTGGTGGTTGCTCAGACCTGAGGCACCTGAGGAGGGTGGGATGGTCAGACTGTGCCCTGAGCACACACAGGGGCAGATCCCTGCAGAACCAGCTCACACAAGAGATTCTCAGCACCCACCAAGCTGCTCTGAGGCTCCCACTGACAACAGCTGGGCCTGGCCGAAGTGCCACCGATGCTCAGGCACACACTCCCTGACCGAGAGCTAAAGAGAAGCTCTCCCAAAGCTTTAAATAACCTCCCACCAACAGCCAGGAGGGGTTTTCTGCTCCAGAAACCTTCCAGGCAAGGTGCTGCTCTCTGCCCACAGCTCTGCTTGTCCATACCCACCTCCAGGAACAGAAGGCAAACTAACTGCTAAAAACTTCTCAAGACACTCCATCCCAGCTCCTCAGAGGGTACCCAGCTCCTCTGTTTGCATCAGCTCAAGGCCTGGCAGACTGGAGATCTTAGCTTATGGACCTGCTCCACAGCCTAGTGCAGCTACGTGGCAAGTGATGACTGGAATGATGCAACCTAGGGACACCTGAGGGACCAGGGTGGTGGCAGTGACACTGGTGGGAGCCTGGAAGTTGGATGAGGTTTGGGAAGAACAGGGAGATTCCCAGTTCTCAGATAAGGCTTCGTAAGCGCAATGATACAAACGTATTAAAAACACACACACAAACATCGAAATTAAAATAAAAACTTTCCTCAAGGACCTAATTTGCAGCAAAATCCAGAAGAAAAAGAAAACCAGGTCAAACCAACCCAACAGAACCGAAGCCCTCAAGGATTCTAGCTCATCACCCCATGGCTGGGGCTGCTGCTCTCTGTGTGGAGGGTCCTGACTGTGCTCACTGAGCTCGGGGTGGTGCTGGGGACAGGCTGGGATTGATTTGTGTCCCTCCCTGCTTGCCTAGCTCTTCTGCTGAGCACAGGACCCTACAGAATATCCAGTTTAAAACCCTTGAACTAGTCTTCTGCCTGACAGTATTAAAAAAAAAAAAAAAAAAAGCTTTTTTTAAAAACATTTATCATTTCTTTGTTCCTTTTTTTTGTGTGTGTGTGTGTGTGTCTTAAAGGCAGCTCCCGGGAAATTCACTTTCTCCTTCCTTTCTTAAAAGAAAGATGCTCAATGGGACAGAGGCCACATAGCTCCAATATCCTCTTTACTCTTGCATGTCAGAGGTGTGAAAAGAGGGTTTGTTTCTTTGAATGTGTAAGGGGCTGGGGGGAAGTGAGAGGGGTTGGTGACGATGAGGAGGGAATCGAGGGGCTGAAGGAGGTGCCTGACTTCACCCCTCACTGTTTGCCCGCAGTAACTGTCACAGGCTCTAAAAGGATCAGAAGGGTCTCCAGGTGCCCAGGCCCCCAGGCTGCCCCGTGGGCACGGCAGGGTGGTCCTAGCCCAGGCTGGTGATGTTGGCACGTCCGCCCGGCGGTGCCACGATGCGCTGAGTCGTGCGGCGCGGGATGTTGTCGTCGATCTGTGCCCCTGGAGACAGAGAGAGGAGTCACCAACACTGCGAGGCCCAAAGGCCACCTGGGACATGGGTTAGTGCTGAACAGGGTGGTGGTGCTGGTTGATGGCTGAGCTTGGTGATCTTAGAGGGCTTTGCTAAGATCTCACTTTCAAACCTCAGGGTGTGCAGTGGCAGGACAAGGGGGAAGGGCCTTAAGCTGAAGGAGAGCAGGATTCAGTTAGATATATGGAAGAAATTCTTCCCTGGGAGGTGCTGAGGCTCTGGCACAGGCTGCCCAGAGAGCTTGGGGA